GGCTGATCGGGTGCTGGGGGTTTTATCAGGGAGAACAGAGGCAGGGTTACAGCACAGTGTTAGCAAGGCCGTCTTGACACGACCAGCCAAGGAAAGCAGAGAGCGGGGGAGAAGGCTGTGGTTCCCATGTTCAAAAACACAATAGGACCAGAAACACTGAGTTCCAGCCCCTTCTGTAGGGCTCCTTTGGGAATCATTGAGTTTGACGTTGTGAAAGGAACCTCTGTAATGGCAGGAACCTTTGGCAGCGTTCCACAGAATGTGCATCTGGCCATCTGCCCACATTCGTTAACTGAGGCACGTTCCCTTACTACATACTTGCGTGCGCATGCGCGCGCGCGCGCGCGCGCACACACACACACACACACACACACACACACACCACCCGAGGCATGCATGTGTTTCCCACTTCATGAGCCACAGCACTGGATGCAAATTCCAGAAAAGCTATGTAGACAAAAAGTTGGAGAAATAACTTTTGGTTTTCTCTCCCACCTGCAAGATACATAGTTCAAGCCCTGCTCTTGGCCAAGAGTATCCTAAACTGAGCAGTAGAATTCAAAGCCGTAAAGGAGTGCACCCATGAATCTGTAATCTGTAATTGCATGAAAGTGAGCAATTGGTGACATTGGTTAACAAAATTATTCAGGTCTCAGGTGCACAATTCCACAACACATCATCTGTACACTGTATTTATTGTGTGTTCACCACCCAAAGTCAAGTCTCCATCCATCACCAGGTATCACCCACAGCCTCCTTCTACTCCCCCCATCCCCATCACGTCACCTCTTGAATGAGTCACATGTTCACCATCCTTTCCCCTGTTTCTTATTGTTTGTGTGGACAAAGAAGGGAATGAAGCATTCATGGATTGTTCAGGAGTAGGTTGCTCGGGCCAGAAATGAACACAGTGGGAAATCATAACCTTTTGTTGTTTGTGTAAAGAACTTCAGAGGGGCTTGTGTTGGAAGGTTAAAGAAAAAGTTATAAAGAGAAGAGAAAGATTAGAGCAACCAGTACGTGCAGATGCAGGGGCGGAGTTATTCTGAGGGGAGTAGAACAGGAAGTCACAACCATTTGAGAAGAGGAAATTGGGGTGGTCGTGGAAATGCCATGTGGGTGGAATGCGTTTGATTTGTGGCATGTGATGGTAATGTCACATGGCTTCTGCATCCTGAAGGGACAGTCAATGACTCAGGACAACAGGAACCGGATTCCCTGAGTGTGCAAAATAGAGGAGGGGCTTACGGTGGATAGTTCTCTCTTGTGTATTTTTTTGAAAGTCAATGAAAATATTGTCTCATCATTTCAAAGATGTTAGCTTTGAAATGAGGTGCTATAGGTTTCTAAAATTAGAATTTAGGATTTAAAATCCTGTCTTAGTATGCCAGCACACAGTTATGTTTCCCTTTCATGCTTATAACAATAAAATATTTTACAAGAGCTGGTAAAATATCTAAGTTGTCTGCTCTTTTGCCATCTGTTACTGCTGCTGTTTCAGGCATCGTCCCCCATGTCAACCACAATTTAACTCCATTATCTGATCAGTGAATGATCTCTTACATTTCCCAGGCATGGGAGGGAGAGGAGGGGGTGGTGCCAGAAGCTCAACCACTAAGCTCAGTTGACAGACAGCGCTGATGCCTTTCCTGGCACCATCCACACCCCCGCTCAGCATGTGGAGCCCAGAAGCTCACAGAGGGTTTGTTAAACAGGGGTCCTTGAAGTAAAGCTTTTTAGGACCTAATTTTGTGGGAAACAAACAAACAAATGTTTGTTGTAACTTTTGTGTGTGGTCTGGCTGGAACCCTCATGGACAGCTGAAACAGAACCCTGGGAGTTGTTGGCCATAGATATTTCCCCAGATCTCCCGTATTCGTTTTCTGTTGCTGTGTAGCGTATTGGCACAAACTTACAGGCGTACAGCAAATTCATTTGTTATTGCACGGTGTCTGTGGGTCAGAAGCCTGGGCATGGCTTAACTGGGTCTTCTACTCAGAATCTTACCTGGGGGTCCTCCTCCAAGCTCACTGCTTTCAGGCAGAATTCCATTCCTTGTGGTTGTAGGACTGAGGCCCTCAGCTTGCCCTCAGCATGCCCTCAGCTCCTACAGGTGTCCTGCTGTCTCCTGCCAGGGGCCCCTCTCCACAGTAAGACAGTTTGCTTCTTTAAAGCCAGTAGGAGAGTTTCTGATTTAAATCTCTCTGATCTCTAGATTCTTCTTTAAAGGACTCACCTGATTAGGTCAGGATCATCAGGATAATCTCCCTTGTGATTAATTCTAGTCAGGTGATTAGGGACCTTCATTACATCTGCAAAATCCCTTAATCTTTGCCGTGTAATATAATTTACCCAGGGGAGTGATATCATATACACAGGTCTTGCCCACAGTCAAGGGGAGGTTACATGGGATATTTCATCAGATTGTTTAAACAAACCAACAAAGCGAGGACCCACGCTGCTCTGCAGAATCTGTCTGAGGCGTTGGCTATGGGTATGTGACCTGCAAACATTTATTTATCCATGAAGGTCATCACACCTAGAAGGGTCTCTCTTGCAGGATCAGTAAGGAAGCTCTCACGCTGCAAATATTCTGTCTGCTGAATATGCAAATGTGAAGGATGTCACCTTTCCTAAAGAGATGGCTTGGAAAAGCTCGATTTAACCAGATGAGAAGAGGCATACCCGCTCAGGAGCTGACAGCCTTCCCCAGCATGCTGTGTGCTGGTGGGCCAGGTAGAGCGAGCCCAGGAGCTAATGTGCCCTGGACAGTTAGGCCAGCAGATTAGAGACCTATCCACACTGGTGCCAGCCAGGCTCTGAACTTTTATACATCTGACTTCCCAGTCCTTAGAAATAAAGTCAAAATGCCCCTCTCAACTGGGCACTTCTCACCCTTCAGACCTGCCCATGAAATGCTGCCACCTGCAGCCTGCATTGCCTGCCCACAACTGGCCATGGATCTCTCATGGGGTTAAACCTCTGCAATCACATATTTGCATGGGTCGGGGCAGCTTGTCTGGAGTTCCCTGCTCATTTGAACAGATTTTTTTTTCTTTGTAAGATGATGTTACATCATTTAGAAGGAAGATGTGCATTTTTGTATTTGGAAGACTCTCCCCCCACCCCCCCCTCGCTTTATGGCGTTTATACTTTACCTGTCTAGACAGGGAGAAAAGAAAGCATGCTTCCTACAAACACTTTCTAGGAGAGTGACTCTCATGTGAGTCACATTTTTAAAAGTAGGTAAAATCAATTTCAATAATGCATTTTATTTAACCCAATATATCCAAATCATAATTCCAAGATGCAATTAATACACTGACACTGATTCACGAGAGAATTTACATTCTCTTTGGTACTAAACCCAGAGTGTGCTTTACACTACGGCACACCTCAGCTGTCACAGCCTTGTTTCCATTGCTTAACAGCCACACGATCCAGAAGCTACTGCGCTGGACAACCAGCATTAGAGTACAAACCAGGCTTCCTGCTACTCACAACCGCTGCCTCCTATACCCCGCCAGCAGGGTGGGAAAATGCAGTGAGAACAAGGCCTGCACCACATCACCCAGGCTGGGGTACGCACAGGCTCTGTGTATAGAACCCCCGCACTTCTGAGCCCGCCTGAGAGCCACACTGACAGAAATGCCCCTCGGGGATTGCTGACACTCTCAGGGCCTTGGCCCCAGAAAATCACAGCTTCACATCTTCCCCAGGAAGGAGGAACTGCCTGGGGATCCCCAATGGCCTTCTGTCCTGGAGGAGGAGCTGGCTGTGTCATTCGTGTGGCGAGGCACAAAGAACAGGGCTCCTGCACCAGGCGGATGCCCTTACTCACTCATGGGACCCTTCTCTAAACTCCTATGGCCCTTGGTTTACTCATCTGAAAAATAAGGAACATTCTCATCACCCCTCAAGGCTCTTGTCAGGCTCACAAAGCAGAGTTTATACAAACATGTTTTGTAAACTATCAAGTGTTGTGCAAATAACAGATTATTTCCACATCTCTGTGAAAGCAGACAGAGGCTGACCCCAGGGGAGCCATGGGGAAGGGACATTAAGCCCCCTTGTCTGTAATGAGGTTCCAGGGCAGTTTAAGGCCAGTGCCTCGGGGTCTTCAGAAGGGCACTGGATCCAAAGGACACTGGATCAGGCACTCCTGAGGGAGTGCTGGAGAAATTGCTGACTTTGAAGATTTCCTTCAAGCTAATTCTGTATGTGATGAGCTGACTTTTCTTACAAGGCCCCAAAGCACATATGTAAATCGGCAGAATCTTAATAACATTCCCCAAAGAGTTGCCTTCACACTGACCTTTCATGCTTCCCTCTGAGTTGCCTCAGAATGCTGAGTCACCGGTCATGACTCAGCTTCTAGCTACCCCGCCCAGAGGGCACATATCAGATCCCTGTTGCCCAAAAGTATAGTCTGAGACCCAGGCCTGTCCCCACCCCAGGTGCCTTCAGCACTCCTCTGATGGGGGTAGGAAGTGGGGTCAGGGAGCGAGCCTGTAACTATATCAGTGCCCTTCAAGCTCAGGCCTGGAGACCAGATGGCCCCAGAGGATGAACCTGTGGGGAAGTGAGAAAGCCTCACAATTGTGATTAGTGGGTTCCC